GCGTAGCCCCGTAGCTCAGAGGAGTGGCGCGATCTTCCTCCCCTGGGCGCCTTTGCAACTCACTCCATTGGCTTCGTCTTCTCTCAGCGGGACCGTCCCTTTTCCATTGGATCTCCAGGGGCTCCGCTGCTGCGCTGGGCGGAGAGGGCTGCGCCTGGTCCTGCCCACCAAGCCGGAAGGCTGTGTACCAGCGATTTTCAACCCTTTCCATCTCCCGGCACACACACACTAATTACTAAAATTCGGCGGCACACCGAAAATACATTTTTTAGCGACCTGACCCAAAAGAGTAGGTGTAATTTTGATCCATTCCCACGGCACAGCCATTGTTATGCTGGCAGTTGTCCTTTTTTAATTTGGCAATGGAAAAAGAGGTCAGTGCCCCTGACTAAATGGGCCGCTATTGCATGGTTTAAAAATTCTTGTGGCAAGAAAAAAGAAAAAAAAATTATGTGGCACACCGGTTGAAAATCGCTGATCTAAGGGCAATTCTTCCTTAATGTTCTTGTTAACATTTACCCCAAGATTAAAGATTCTACAGTTTTAAGGATGGTTTTTGCATTTTTCTTTTTAACGGGAGGAGCTGGGTGTGTGTGTCCTATTTTGGCCACAGGATTAATAAGCACATGTTCTTTCCTAATTAGAAAAGGTGGGTGATAGGGTCAGCTCTGTGCCTGGTGTTTTTAGGGAGTAGAGTTAGAAGGACAAGGGAAATGTGTCATGGCTAGGTCTGAAGTATATTTCGTTCTGCTGCAATATATATTATTGACATAAGAAACATGGGGATCACAAAATGCGAATATACTAAGGTAAATATACCAGGTAAGTTTTAGTCTGATGTTTAACACAAGGATAAAAGTCACCACTGTATTTTTAGTTTGTGTATATGTATGTTTTAGCACATAGCCTGACACATAATTTGTAGAATGAATAACATTTGGTGTTTTCTCTAATTTCTTTTTATAGTATAACTAGAGGCCCGGTGCACAAAAATTTGTGCACTCGGTGCGGGGGGGGGGAGGGGGCTCAGCCCGGCCTATGCCCTCTTGCAGTCCGGGATCCCTCGGAGGATGTCCACCTGCTAGCTTAGGCCCGCTCCCTGGGGGATCGGGCCCAAGCTGGCAGTCAGACAGCCCTCTGGCAGCCCGGGAGCCCTCGGGGGATGTCCACTTGCCAGCAGGGAGCAGGCCTAAGCTGCAGTCGGACATCCTTAGTGCTGCTGAGGAGGCAGGAGAGGCTCCCACCACTACCCCTGTACTGGCAGCCGTCAGCCTGGCTTGTGGCTGAGCAGAGCTCCCCCTGTGGGAGTGCACTGACCACCAGGGGGCAGCTCCTGCATTGAGCGTCTTCCCCCTGGTGGTCAGTGTGTGTCATAGTGACCAGTCATTCCCAGTTGTTCTGCTGTTAGGGTCAGTTTGTATATTACCCTTTTATTATATAGGATAGAGGCCTGGTGCATGGGTGAGGGCCGGCTGGTTTGCCCTGAAGGGTGTCCCGGATCAGGGTGGGGGTCCCGCTGGGGTGCCTGGCCAGCCTGGGTGAGGGGCTGATGGCTGTTTGCAGCTGCTCTCTGAAGTCCCCAAAGACCTTCTCATTGCAAAAGCCATTGGACACTTTTTAGCCTTTATCTTACTGGAGATCAAAGTGCATCTAACATCACGGCTTACTCCATCCTTCTTAAAACCCCCTCCCTCCTTGGCTTCTTTGAAGCCACTTTCTCCTTCTGATGCCAGGACTAGCAGGTTAAATGTGGGTGTGGTGAAGGCAGATGGCTGGATCTAGCCTCTCTCTCTTTCGCCCCCAATAGGTACTGACTCTGAGGTCTTAGAATATCTATCTCTGGGCGGAACTATAGCTGCCCCAGACAGAGCCAGGTCAGAGTCCAGTGGCTTCTCCTTTATTGCTGATTTGGACCAAGCTCACACAGGCCTGTGCCAGCTGTTGACAGTGTCTGTCCCTGGAGGAGGGAAGAGCAGAGGTGAAAGGGTCAGGTACGGGGGTTAGCTGTAGGGCCAGGTCGGAGACTGGGTGAGTCAGGGAGCCCAGGGGGACTAGGATGAGAGCTGGGATGGCCAGAGGGCCCCTGCTTCTGTAGGACCTTGAAGTCAGAGTTGCTGATGATGGTTTCTCGGAGGGTAGGAATCTCTGCAAAAGGCACATAGTCTGCTCCTGGGGGTGGAAACCAATGCAGGTAAGGGATACAGGGGTTAATGGGGTGAGGTAGTGTTGGATGGGATGGTTGAGGATGGGAGAGCCTTTCTGCCTGGCTTTCTGACTACAGACCCTGGAATGGATCCCTGTTCCAGGTAACCCCCTCACCGCGAGGCCTCCCTCCTCGTCGCCGGGTCTCCTCAGTCTCAAAGAAAGTCTCGTGTTCCTCCCAACGCCGGTCACAGGCTGCACAGAGGAAATTTGACTCAAAGCAGTAGCAGCAACAGCCTAGGGCAAGGGACAGCCAAGAAAAGCGTAGGGAAATGAGGCTTCCCCCTGGGCTGACTACATTTTTATCTCTTTCTCACCAACCACAAACCTGTCTCTCCTGCCAACTCCCATATACTTATTCCCAAACTATATGCATCCTATCCCCACCCATGCCCACCTCTGCACTCCCTTTGTTTTAGAAGGTACCTTTGACCCTGCAGGGATGGCACCCGGTAGCTGCATGGTTTTCATGGCTGTGTTTGCAGCGACATTGGGCTCTCCAGGCCTTGGGGTCAAAGGTGGCCCGCCTCTTGAGCCAGAACTCACCCACCTCCTCTGGGCTTGATGGTATAAAGCAGAACATGAGGCAGCGGCACTGACTCACATTGCAAGGCACGGATATGTCTATGGGAATGGGGATGGGTGGTAGGATTAGACCAGCAGCTGATGGCCCTGGCCTTTCCATGCCAACACCCTCTCCCATACCAACACACACACGTTCTCTCATATAGTCCAACACATGACAGTATAGTTATCCCTCCTCATCTGCAAGGGCTGGGAGGGATAACTCAGTTCTCCCTACCTGATATGATCCGGTGCTCTCTCAACAAGTGTCCACAAAAGCACTTGGATTCATCCCCAATTCGGAAACAGTCCCATAGATAATGGGGGCAACGCCAACCAATGTAGAGACCTGGGAATGGTGGGATTGAGTAAAAGGATGAGTAAGAAGGAAGAATGGCCTAAGCTCCCCCAGGTGTTCTCACCTATCCCCTGGGGGTATGCCTCACCTCTACCCCCAGGTGTATTTATCCCTACCTATGAGTCCTCATACTAATTTAGATTTTTCTCCTCAAGGTTTTCTTATCACCCGTAAGTGTTTCAGTTCCCTTCCCACCCCAGGATCCACTCCATCTCTGTCAGCCTGTCAGAGATGACTGAACTCAGTCTTTAGTTTCTGAGCAGGAAGATTATAAATGAATTTTTTTTTGGAAGATGAATATGAATCTCAATCAGTTCTCTGTGACTGTTGGGATTCTCATCTCCTCCCCTCCCTATATTAGAGCCCAACTTTGGCTTCCTTGAAGTTTCTAAGGTGAGGGAAAGAGAAGATGATTGGCCAGGTGTGGAGTAGATGGTAGGGATTGGCTACTAAGGAGCATGGTTGTTGAAGGGACATGAAGAGGAGGAGGAGGTTGAGCAGGCCTGGAGTCAAAAGGAGGGCTTCCCTCAGGTTGGCACCTTCATGCTTCCCTTCTGTGTTCCTGGTATTATTAACTAGTGCCCTTTATGAACTTGAGAAGGGCTTCCGAGGGCTCTCCGAAGGTCAGGAGAAAGAGGTAGGCCAGAAGTTATGAGTAGTGAAGACCAAAAAATAGAGGCTTTTGAGGCTAAATAAAGGGGGCATGGAAAGGAAAGAGAGGCTAAGAAGTATCCCTGAGCTCAGGGACCAGGAAGATGCCACAACACTTTAGAGCCTGGTTTTAGTAGTGGGATCTGAAAATGTCTCAATCTCACTGCAAGACAGGGGTGGTGGTGCTGTGTAAATGTGGGAGGAGAACCAGAGAGCACCTGCCACTCATCCTCCATGAGACCTGAGAGTACCCCAACTTCTAGCCAAGAATCCTGTATGAGTCCCCATGGAGTGGGACCTTCAGCTGTAGCACTCTTATTCCGATTTAAAGGCTGCAATGAAGTGTCACCTCCACCAAAAAGTGTCCCTGACTTCCCCTTTTCTAGGACACCCTCTCTTGCCTTCCATGGCTCCCTGTGCTACTCTTATCACAGTACAATGCATTGTAGTGAACTGATCACTAGTATTCCTGTTAGACTGTGAGGTCCTCCAAGGAAGGGTCTATCTTTTATCTATATCTAGTCCTAGTACAGGGCATGACACAGAATAGGTGCTTAGAGAACACAGATTGTTTAACTAAATGAATGAACAAATTCCTTCAGGAAGGGAGATAATTTCTTCAGTATGCCAGGAATAACCATGAAGTTCTATAAGGAGGATGAGAAAGACTTAGTGTCCTCTGGTCTTTGACTCTGGCCAGGGCCATAATCCACAATTCTGTGTCTAATGGTCAGACTAGGTTTTCTTGTATTACCCATGATCTCTCAAGGTCAAAAGCCTGTCCAGATGTGGCTTTTGGCTTTGCTGCTTCTGTCTTGATGCTGATGGCCTATAGTGCCAGTGCCCCAATACACCAGGGAGTCTTGGATGAAAGGGCAGAGTATAGAGAGAGTCACAATGGGGGTGGGTAGGGACCAGGATTCTACTAGAGGAATTCTGAACTTCATCCAGAGTAGCAGGATACACTGCATGAGCAGGTGAGATGTGGAAATGAACAGGGGTCAGTGGCCAGAGATCAAGGCCTGGCCTGAGAGCCTGGGAGAGTCAAGTCCAAGCACTGATGTAGGAGTCAGTGTCCAGCTTTCAGATGAAGATTGAAGTTTGAATAGGGAGACTGGCAAACCGCACCTCAGACTCTATTACAGTGGTCAGTGCCCTTTAAGTGGGACCATTGACATCTAGCTGAGTATTCCAGAATGGTGCCCTCTACTCTATGCCCTGATTCCAAATCCTCTTTTTGTTATGAGTGGACAAGGACTGGCAGGGGGAGGGAACATTATCTGGGATGCCATTTTGATTCTGTACAACACAGTTAATTCCATGATCATGTAATCACATTTGCATGATAACATCTCTTTGTGCTTAGAATGTCTTCATACAAGATACAGCTGTTTTTATATGAAAGATGTCTTCAACCCAGCTCTCTCTCCTGAGCTTCAGACCCATAGAGCCAGCTAGCTACTAGACTCTTTCACCAGCATGTTCCACAAGCACTTTAAATGTGTTATAATTATTCCTTCCAAACCTGGCCCTCGCCCTTTGTCTTCTGTTCATCCAACACATACTTAGCAAGCATCTACTCTTGTCTTAGGCATTCAGTTAATGACACCATTATCCAATCAGTTAGTTAAGCCAATTACCTAGATGTCATTCCAGGCATGTTCCTTTCTCTTATCCTACACATCCAATGATCCAAAGGTTAGTTTTACCTTCTTAGCATTTCTTGAGTTTGTCTACTTTTTACTTCTACCCATTCATTTCTTATTTGGATTATTAGCAGTGCCCCACAATGCAGTCTTCCTGTCTCCAGCTCTAACCTTTCTCTAGTCTATCCTACTGCCAGAGTGATCTTACAAAAACACAAATCTGTTCGTTATTGTTCCATTTAAAGTCTTTTGGTGACTTTAGGTTGCCCTCAGGATGTAATCCCAGCTCTTGAGTTTGGTACAGAAATACCTGCCCAATTCTGCCCTTCCAGAGCTGAGCGGGGCTACTCTGCCCAACACGCTATGCAGCAGGCATACTGCATTGCTTACAGTTTCCTGCTGGTGCCTGGCGCTGTCATGGCTCAGCATACCTCACTTTTTACCTGGCTGCCTCTTGCTACTCATCTTATAGATTTCAGGTGAGAAATCATCCCATCTAAGGCTTAATCCCCAAACTCCCACAATTGGGTGCCTGCCCTGTTTCTCTGTTCATGCAGCACTCTGGGCTGAGCTAAGTTATACCAATTATTAGAATGAATTGTTATTGTCCTTTTACTTATTGGTGTCTGTCATTAAAGTGTAAATTATTTGAGGGTTCTTTGCTTGGAAACCCCATCCATACCACCACCTCCACAACTAGCAATGAGCCTCGTACATTGCTGGTGCTCAATAAATGTTGAATGAATAAGAGAAAAGCTTACATTTGATATTTCTCTACAGAGCACATGTATTGACTCTCGAGGGACAGAAGATCCCCAGTATTAGAAGAGAACCCCAAATATCTTTGTTCAGGATTGCATGACACCTAAATTTTAGTATAGAGATTCCTGTTTAAACAAGAAAATGAAGTCCACTCTCAAGAAGTACAGTGGCCTTGAAGAGTGGGGAGTAGACAGGAGGTTGTAAGGAGAATGAGGGTACTGAACAGACCCTACATTTGCAAAAAGAATAAAAGTGACATAGCATGCTAAAATAAGCAAACAAAGCTGTTCAATGTCTGAAGTAAGACTGAGAAACAAATGAGATCACTATGACTTTCTTTTCCAGAAGTGGAGGTGGGAGGTCCCTGCATAGGGACTGAGGAAAGTAAGTTACATGGAATAGGGATAGGACATAGAATTACCTAGCTGTCTTTATATCTTAGGCCCATCTAGTTTTGACATAACTCTACTCCCATCATAAAGAGGAAGTACGAAAAACCAAAATAAATGCAGTGACATGTTGAATTCAGTCTAGAAACACCAAAATCCTCATAGCAGGTCAGGGTGACCCTCTTACTGAAGGTAACCCCTGTAGATATAAAACTCAGTAACATTGGTACACATGTTCACACACAGGATGGCATGTGTTTACAGAGTACATCTGCACACCCTTCATATATAGACATAGATAAGCATAGCATGCCACTAACAGGACTGTCGAGAGTACTAATTCTGGGCTGAGACTTGGAACCAACAGGGTTAGAAGATGTGACTCCTGCTCTTTGGTGGAGACTCACAGCTCTTGGGTACTCAAGTGATCATAGGTCTCATATTCAGGGGTGACTGCTTTTAATAGAGTTCCAACAAGGGGACCCAGGCCTTTTGCCATGTAAAAGCAACAAGTCACGTGGAGATTGTCCAGGTCCTCTTCCTTAGGGTCTGTTTGGTGCAGGCCATCTGAGCCCTAGATCTGGGGCTAGCCTGTGACCCTTCTGTTTTTAACAACTTTAGCTCAAGTCACCTGTCCCTACCTGGGCTTTATATGAGTATTCACTCTTTTCATCTGCAACTATACTATCCACCATGGCCCACCTGCCTGCTTCCCTCCCAGATTTCAGGCAGGTGGCATTGCCATGTCCACAAGGTGCAGCTCTCCACTGAATGGGCAAGTTCCCCGAAACTGATGGGCTGGAGGATGATCCTGGGCCTGTCACAAGCCTCTGAGAGGTTGCCTGGGCTCACCTGTCTGGGTGGCCTTCAGGGCTGCATTCTTCTCCCATTGGAAAGGATTGTTCACATGAGCACCACACTTTTCTCTTTGCATTGCCTCAGGCACTTCCACCAGCTCTGCCTGCTTAGCAAGGACCACTGGACTGGCTGTATCACCTGGGAAGAGAAGGGGTGTGTAATCAAGGAGAAGTGAGGGGGCCCCAAAACGAAGAGAAGGGGTCAGGTCAAAGAGTAACCCAATCTCCTCCTGGGGCAGGTGAAAGACAGTGATGAGAATGGGGGAAAGGGTGGGAGCAATTACGGCTAACTCCTTTCTTCTTCTTCTTGCCCAGATGACGTCCAGGCTGAGCCGTGTGAGTGGTGCTGACAGTGGCATCCTCCCCCTCCTTGTCCTCTCCTTCCTCTTTCCTTTCCTCTGCAAATGTGTCCAGGTGGACCTTGGCTGAAGGGTCTAAAAGGGAATACTCTGGAAGGATCTCAGATTCACGGATTTGTGTGGAACTTCCTGGCCATGAGATCTCAGAGGAGAGGCCTGTCTTCAAAGCATCAGAGACATGGTCTGGTGATGAGTTATATAAAGTAAGGTCCTCTGGGACCTTAGAGTGTTCTAAAGAGGCCTTGGAGATGGAAGGCTCCAAAAGGGTTTCAGAGGTGTAGGTCTCTAAAGGGGTCTGGGAAGTGGGTGGCATCATCTGAGATTCAGAGGTGTTGAGCTCTAAAGGAGTCTCAGGGATGGAAGGCTCCAAAGGGTTTTCAGGGATGTAGGTCTCTAACTCAGTATGGGAAGTGGGTGACATCATCTGAGATTCAGAGGTGGGGGGCTCTAAAGGAGTCTCAGAGACGGAAGGCTCCAAGGGGTTTTCAGAGATGTAGGTCTCTAACTCAGTATGGGAAGTGGATGGCATAGTTTGAGATGCAGCGGTGTGGGGCTCTAAAGCGATATGAGAGATGGAAGACTCCAAGGGGGTGTCAGGGATAAGGGGCTCCTGTGAGTCCTCAGCAGAGGGGTCCTTTGAAGAAGGGTGCTTCTCTGCATCCATGGTGGTATGAGGCTCTTCTGCTTCCATCTAGTGGTAGAATATGGTACAGGCTTTAGATTGGAATTGGAGGGTCTACAAATCAGGTATGGAATTAGGATATATCTTAGTGCACTTGAGATATAAGGGAGAAGCAAGATGAGCTTTGTGTTAAGGTATGCTACCAGGAGGTTCACACATGTGCCTAGACTCCATGTATGGGTTTGGAGGGAGCTGGTACTTAAAGAATGAAAGACTAAAGCAGTCAGAATCCTATCAGTAGATGGTAGCAGAGGACCATGCCTCAGGAGGGAACCTGAACATAGCAACTTGGCCAGTCCAAGAGCAGGGTCCTCGGCATACCTTAGGACCATGGAGATCAGGCTGTGCAATTCCAGAGACTAGGAATACCAAGCCAAAGTGGGGGGTTTGCTCCCAAGAGTGCAGGAGGATGTCACGAAGGCAGGGCTCTGACCACAGTCTCGTTTCGTCTATGGACTACCTTCCCTACATGATGTCATTCGTGTTCAAGGCTTCAATACTGCCAGCTGTATGCTTATAATCCCTAAATCCATAATTCCAGCTCAGACCTCTTTAAACCCCTATACTTCACACTTATACCCAACTGCCTGATGGACATCGCTAAATTATTGTCCCATAGGACATCAAAATGGACTTTGTTGCGAGTTTGATCCCCACTTGGGGTGCATACAAGGAAGCATCTGATAGATGTTTCTCACTTTGTTGCGAGTTTGATCCCCACTTGGGGTGCATACAGGAGGCATCTGATAGATGTTTCTCTCACATTGATGTTTCTCTCTCTCTCCGTTCATCTCTCACTAAAATGAATAAAAACATATCCTCAAAAACAAAAACTAACAATAAAAACATATCCTTGGGTTAGGATTAAAAAACGATAACACTTGACCCTGGGAATTATCTTAGCTTTTTTCTTCAAATAGGCACCAGGGACTGTATTTCCTAGCTTCTAAAATCTAAATATATCTCAAATCCACTCTCTCCTCTCTTTTCCCTCCAGTTTTATTCAAGTTCTCATCATTTTCTACATGGATTATGTCAGGTATTCCTCTGGGACCTTAGAGATGACTTTGTCCCTCTGTTGCCTTTCCCAACATACTAATCCACTCACCCATTCTATCATTGATTTAGGTAACTTATACTTTTACTAGAGGCCCGGTGCATGGAGTCATGCACGGGGGTGGAGGGGCCCTCAGCCTGGCCTGCACCCTCTCGCAATCCGGGACCCCTCGAGGGATGTCCAATTGCCAGTTTAGGCCCGGTCCCTGCAGGCCAGGGGGATCGGGCCTAAACCGGCAGTCGGACATCCCCCAAAGGATGTAGCAGTGCACCAAGCACTGCGCCGCTTGTGCTCATCCAGGCTGCACCTGCTGCTGCAGCTGTGCTTGCCAGCGGTGAACCCAGCTTCTGGCTGAGTGGCGCACTGACCACCAGGGGGCAGCTCCTGCACTGAGTGTCTACCCCCTGGCGGTCAGTGTGCATCATAACGACTAGTCAACCAGTCGTTTGGTCGTAATGGTCGCTTAGATTTTTTTAAAAATTTTATTTATTTATTTATTTATTTAAAAAAATATATTTTATTGATT